TGCCAACTACTGTACAGCTATAACTTCATCTCTTCCTTAAACACTCTTGAAAGCATTTCCATTTGGAAAACAAAATATTTGACACATTTAATTCAGTAAAATTTGATAAATGGTCCAATTATTTCGAATTAAAGATTTTGCACGCCGTGAAACGAGTATCTATATGCAAAAAATGCGATCGTTGTTACTATTGTGATTGTGTAATCACATTGTAGCATTCCGATCTGAAATGACTGTTTGAAAATGCTCACTGTCATTTCAGATCGGATAAGCTATTGAACCATCTTCTGTAATAGTAACAAGTCTTCCATAGAGAACCGTGTGTGGTGCAAGGTTTGGGGCAGAGACAAAATATATGATGAGTAGCAGGCATGAATTAGTCCCTGGCGCTGGTGTGGCGGGTTGTTGGCGGCTTGTGTGAATAGACTTTTTGGGTTTAAATTTAATTTTAACATCTTTATAATATGGTACCTTAGATTATTTAATTTTATTTATAAAGTGGATAGTTTATTTATGTTTTAGAGTTTAAGTGGTAGAGAGGACTTGCTAGTCCTAACTTCGCCTCTTAAATAAAGACATTTTTCATTTCATTTCAAGTCTTCCTCAAGTTTCACAACATAAGCGAATCTCTATCTGGTGTGTTGTACGATTGTTAAATTCTGGAGTTAAGTGAATCTCACGTGAGAAAATCAGATTCCCAGATGCCGTCTTGAGGATGGTCGACGGTAGACGGACGTCACAGATTTGCTGAATAGCTTCCGGTGTTGGGTGCAGGACTTCCTGCCTCTCATCTTCCGTCCCTCTTCACACCTTCGCTAGTTGTACAGATCGTTTTCCTTAGGCTACAGCCATCTTCACACTTTTCATGCCCTACCTACCTTCACATCCTACACTGGCAGTCTAAAGCAGTTTTCTCCATCACTTAGGTCTAGGCCTAGATCATCGCGACTTTATCACGTAAAGGCAACTGGTAATTGTTGGTATTTAAACATGGTACAGTACCTTGGGGACTAGAGTCCCGCGCTCTCCCAATCGTCGCACTGCTTAACAGGTATATTGTAGCCTGATCACTCTCGACTCTCGATTTTGTGGAAACTTGAATTTGATAAATTTGAACTCGAAAGTCAGCGAGTAACTCGGAACTAGAATAGAAAGGATCGTTGAACACACGTCAAACTTTTCCAACTACATGGAAACACTCCTGTTTTTGTTGTTGATTGAGTTCGAAGTGAAAGTTCACATGATAATTCAGAACCGAGAAAATTAAAGATTGATCTGGGGCACAATATTTAGATCTTTAAAACTAAATGGAAGTCAACTTTAGAAGTCGGTGGAAATCTTGACGCGTGACGTTAGGTAATCTCTTCATCGCCGGATGTTGTTCGGACGTTGACTTTGCAACCGGAAAGACCAAATAGGTGGTGAGCAGAAGAAGAATAATGGACGATGAAGTTGCGAGTTGAGATTCAGGAGATGTCTTCAGCTAGTCCGTGGCTCTAGCGGGACGCTTCCTTGACTTGCACCTTGGATTTGTCAGGGAGAAGGTATTGTTCCCTGATTCCCTGAAGGTTGTTATGATGGTTAGTTATGGTGGTCGAAAGTTTGGACTTTGACTCTGGAGACACGGCCTCTAATCCAGCCGATCGAGAATTAATTGATTTTCGCCAGGACTATGCCGCGACTACATAGTTTCCGCTTTTTAAACAGCTTTTTTAATAAAACAGAATATAAAGCATCTTAGACGAAAACTGTTGTGGAGTTTGAAACTACTTTCGCTTTGTGAGAGGTTATACTAAAATTGAGACACGTACTGGAAGTGAAATTGATGGGTTTTAAAAGCTGTAAAACCATGTATAAACTTCGGAGGCATCTAAGTTTAACTAGTATTTATTTACACACCAAAAAACTCCTAGTCAACTTAAATTATAATATGTTGACTCTGGGAAGAAATATTTTAGATCACGAACCAACCCATTATTTGTCAATGTATCAGCCTACGAATAGAGCCATCATTTTACTATCAATCATTTTAGATTCCTGAGCTAATGCAAACATTAGTTGGATAACATAATGAATTTTTAGTTTATACCATTCTATTATAAAAAAAATATTTTGAATATGAGTAAATACAGTGTACGCATCGGGGAAAACGTGTCTAAATTATGTTTATAAAATGCGTTTTAGCTTGTAGCAAAATAAGTGGCTTCTTCTTCACTAACGTAACAAAGACAGACTTTGCACGAACGCTAATTTTCTCAATTAGCTGAATTTTATAAGAACAAGTAATCTAATACAAATTCTCTCCAAGTCTGAAAACTTGCGATGATTATGCAACCTGAGCCATGCGAACAGATCTGTCTGTCCAACGGATAAGTAGAGACAACTCCAGTTTGGATTCGGCAGGTAAAAGGGAGAAGTTTGGAGTTTTAATGAGTTGTATCAATTAGTGTGAACGAAAGTTTGCCGAGCCATCGTTGATGCGTCAATAATAATACATTCGTTCTCCAGTGTTTCAGTTCACTACATTCTGTCTTCAGATAAACTTAATTCTCAGGATTTAGTAGTTATTTACTCGAATTGTCAAATTTTGTGATAAAACGTGCTACAAAAGATTATTTGACACAATATGGCTATCCGCGTTGCTTAAAAGTTTTAATTTTAAAATTTTCAAATCAAATTGACTAATAATATAATGTATGTGTAGGCCTATGTATTCCCACTTCATAATTATAGATGATTTCAACTTGGTTTCAAGCTTTTTCCAAGTTGCATGAAATACAAACTGAATAGGCCTACGAATGATAGATTCTGATGATCAGTGCAATAAATGTTTATGAGCCATCGATCTCTATTCTGACCTCATGCTCGGACTCACTTTTGATGTTTTAGCTTTGCACGATTGCTCCAAGTCCTATACTATGTTACGTACATCAGTCCCACTCACACTTCTCTCTTGTGCAAAGTAACGTCAAAAACACTGTAGCGACAGTTGCACGTATGATTCGTCCCAGTGGCGTATGATGGCTGTCCCGGTGCCGCACAAACGCCGTGCCGGTGCCGTATGGTCAACGTGCCGGTGCCGGACGATTGCCGTCTCGGTGCCGGATAGTGGCCGTGCCGGTGCCGGACGATTGCCGTCTCGGTGCCGGATAGTGGCCGTGCCGGTGCCGGACGATCGCCGTGCCGGTCGTAGCTCGTCGTGCGCGGTCGAGTCAAGGTCGCTCAGTGCCCCCAGCGCCGTGGGGGGAAGGGGAGTCGTTTTTCTCACGTCTCGGCCAGGTTTTGTTTGTTCGCAATAATAGATACTAGAGAGAGACACACACGGTCATACCGCCGCCCTGATGTGCTTCTAGTACAGTGGCTACCAGCGGCTGATACATAGAACCATTAGAACCTGTGTGAGGAGTCAACCATGACTCAGTAAACACTGTTTAGAAGGCACTGATTTCTACAATCGTAGATGCTAACATTTAAACCTTTGGGACATGTACATTTACATTTATTGATAGAGTTTCTCAACGTCAGTGGAACTTAAAGCAACATTTACAAATGCCAGACAATAAACTTCCACGTCTTAAACTGAAGCAGAGATGTAGCAACACATAAGAGAGATGTTCTTTTAATTTTTCTCCTTATAATGGTGTAGAAGAAAAATTAATGAATCTTAAGCATCTCTCAAATCTTGAACCTTGTAATAAGTGAATTAATTCTTCTGTCAAATAAAGGGATCCAGTATTCTTCTATCCATTTCATCCGCAACAGCTGAATAAAACAAATAAAATCAAATTATTGTTGTAAAATAAAACCAATACAAGTTTTTTATCATGGGTAGATTGGGACAGATTTTGCATCATATTTTGTGAACATGGCATATTCAGAGTATCTTTGGAGAACTAAACACTATAATTATTCAAATATATTGAGAAATTAAAGTGTGAAATAAGTGTTGAAGGAATCCTTTAAGAATAAGTAAAAAAGTCTCCCTTCACAACAAGTCGTTGCACTCTAGCCATTTACAAGTCTCTTAAAAGCGTGAGGAATGTTCCAATCTAAAGAAACCTCTTTGGAGCATTTAAATTAGAACTTGTAAACTATTATCACAAAATTTTAACTTTACTATCGAAAGAATCACACTACTGTACAACCCTTTTCTGATTCATCAGTGTCATATTTCATAGAAATTGACAAACGACTCAAATAACCAAACCAAAGCAGTATTGAGTAGACAAGTTGAAGTTGTCCGAGTTTGTTAGAGAAGGTGAGTGAGCGAGCGAGTAAGTGAGCGAGTCGGTGAGTCGATGGCCTTGACCGCTCACTTTCTTGGCCATGCGGACTAGACTGGACGAACAAAGTGGCTGCAGACAGCAGACAACCAACTATGCTACTGGAACTGCTCAATCTTAATCTGATTCTTAAGCATGCCACAAGAGTGGGGAAAGAGAACATATTAGGATACAAAAGCTAGCAATATTAGCAATATTTGAGTTGATGTTAAAATCAAAGGTTTTTCCATTGCCTTCATCTTGGTTATGGCTTCCCTAGTGACTCTGGTGAATAAATTTGATAAGGAAGTCCTATTATGTGACTTGAATAACTTTCCATGGTTATCCTAATGGTTTTTGATGAATGGTTCCTCATTGCCAAGCTTTTCAGTGGCGATACTCGGTAGAAGAAGTTTCATGTTTGATTTGTAACTATTAAACTTGAATAGTTTCTGCGGTTGTCCTAAAATAATTCATTGTACCTCCTCAATCAAGAAGAATTTTAATCACTACTTTAAGAAGACGCATGTTAAGACGCATGTGACGCATGTAAAGAGGCCGCCAACCTCTTTAAAAAAAAAAAAAAAAAGAAAAGTTTATGAACGAGCTAGGTATATTAAATATGGAGCTTCAAGCCTGGTAGCCAGAAATTTGTAACGTCGCCAATACTATACAACAATGTAAATAACATAGCACACGATCCTATCACAGTTTCTATAAACACTCTGTTTGTTTCAGGAAGGGAAGACCTTTCGCCACCCAACTCACTCAACGGCTACAGCGTGGACAGCTGTGATGCGAAGAAGAAGAAGGGTCCGACGCCTCGGCAGCAGGAAGAGCTGTGTTTGGTGTGCGGAGACCGAGCCTCAGGCTACCACTACAACGCCCTCACCTGTGAAGGCTGCAAAGGCTTCTTCAGAAGAAGCATCACCAAGAACGCGGTGTACCAGTGCAAATACGGCACCAACTGTGAGATAGACATGTACATGAGGCGCAAGTGCCAAGAGTGCCGACTCAAGAAGTGCCTCAGCGTGGGGATGAGGCCTGAATGTGAGTGCCACCGGGTTACTTGTCAATTATAAGAGTTCGATCAGTGTGAGGTGTAGCGATGAGGTACAAAATGTGTTGTAATTCAATTATCAATTATAAAGATGGGGACGCCACCTAGGTGCGTAGTTTAACCCAAATATGAGTGAAGGATGAATGTAGAATGTTGTGAGGGTATCTGTGTAGCTTTGTTACTGACTAAGATCAGCTGTTTCATCAGTCAAAATATAAAATAAAGACCTATTGAGGAAGTTATCCTTATTTAGAAGGTTTAGAATCATATTTTGAATTTGGTTGAATAAGATTGAACCGTCAGATAACCGCTCTTTACATTGCGTTTTAGAAAATGTTCAGATTTTTCAAGGTAAGGTCTAAAGCAATTCTCAAAAATGTATTGGACGAGTGGAGTTTAAGATTTAGTGTGAGGTATTGTACGGGGTACCCGTAGGTTGAGATACCAAGCAGTAAATAATAAAATCATGTTTACAATTTAAGTCCAGATAAATATGGATGAAACATCAGTTAACTTCTCTCATCCAAAGGTTGCATGTTAGTTGACATGATAATTTTCAAAACAAAACTGGGTCGTACAGACTAGTAGAGGGTGTTTCACAAAGTGTAAAATAATCTACTGTGTCTTGATTGAGAGATATGTATAAATAACTTTTTTCTAAATATCTCACCTTTAAAAACTTATTAGTTTGACAATCAAATATCAGCAAAAGAAGTATTACCTCTTTTCAATAAAAGGAAATGGAAAGTTAATAAGAAAATGAACTGAACACTGGAAAAATTATTGATCACCAACATTTTTATTTACATATATTTTTCAACATTGTTTTTAGGTGTAGTACCTGAGTATCAATGTGCCGTAAAAAGAAAAGAGAAGAAAGCCCAAAAGGACAAAGATAAACCTGTGTCTTCAACTAACGGATCACCTGAGATGAGAATAGATCAGGACAACGTGAGTATTATATCTGGTTTAAATTGGCAAAACTGTGTTTATTAATCGATCTACTTAGTTGATGCACAGCATAGTTGTAGGCATCTATTCAACAGGTAGAGTTGTTGTTTTCCTGAAATTATGCTTTTATGGAAAGCTTAGTGAAGTTAATGTAACGTTTAAAAGGCACAGATTGTGGTCACATATCCCCCTTTCTAGTGTATATTTAGAGCTGGCCAAATTTTTAAGACATTTTGTTCAAACTTCCTTGAACATTCTTTTAGGACAAGACGTTATTGTTTGTTTGCAAAACTTGTATAGTAAAACCTCCTAATTTCGCCCTTAGTTGAACTGTCACTAATTATCCCAACTTGCTAATATCCTATTCTTTATACTTACTAGCTTTTATAGTAGCGCTTTTTTCTTCTCATAAGTGTGATGCACCTCGAACTGGTACTGCCCATATTTTCTTAGACCTATTCCCTTGTTCCAAAGTTTGAATTAACTTGTAATAGATTTTGAAATTTTTAAGCAAAATAGTTGAAATTTTCCTATTTCTAGGTGTTTTAACACAATACAGGAATCTATTATAAATAATAAATTTAATATGAGTAAAAAATGTTTATATTTGTAGTAAAAATCTTACGAATTTCTAAATTTTTTACAAGAGCCAAAAAGCATTTTCAATGACCTAATAAAAAAATAATCCCCCCAATAGAGGGCCCCTTTACAGAATTTAGCTGAGGTCTTTAAACGGTCCTAGTCCGGGCCTGGGAGCAGTTTAACTATTTATCCTATTTAATATAAGTACTCTTTACTATAATGAACTTTAAAACACAATAGATGTTTGCTGTTCTGATTTGTTATACACACTATAATGTTTACCCTAACACACAACATTCAGCGTTGTGTGGTGTTGCAGAGTGAAGACACGAGGTATGGAGTAGCTACTCCCAGCTTCGGAGTGAAACCTCTTAGTCCGGAGCAAGAGGAGTTGATCCACAGGCTCGTCTACTTCCAGAACGAGTATGAACAGCCCTCGGAGGAGGACCTCAAGAGAATCGAGAACCTGCCTTGTGACGAGGACGACCCTAGTGATCTCCGATACCGACATATCACCGAGATCACGATACTCACAGTCCAACTCATCGTGGAGTTCGCCAAGAAACTGCCCGGGTTCGACAAACTGCTTAGGGAGGACCAGATCGTATTGCTCAAGGTAAATTACTAGACGAATCTCATGCAATTTAATGAAGGTCACCAAGAATGAATTAAAAGAAAGGCTCTATCTTATCGTTTGGTCAGTAGTCCAAAATGTTATCATCTAAATGGTGCAGACTGCAGACTAGTTTCGGTTGCTAGAGTATCATTATCAAAGCAAGCAACTTGTCAAAATAAGATATGTGTGTGTCATGTTTTGTGTTTGAAGTATATATATTGAATTAGAGGTTTAAACGTGTTGCTCTCTTTGGCAATGTTGTGCTTTACAACAAAACTATCCACCACCATTGTTGTTGGGAAATTTTGGACTACAGACGGAGGTAGTTTGTCGTAAAAGGAGTCCAAGGACTAAAATATGTGATGTTATAAAAGTTCCTGCTGCAAAATATAGTTTGAAAGTAACTCTCTTGATAGATTAGATCAAATTTAGGATTTAGTGGTCAGCACTGTTTGTGCACATGTTGCCAAGAATGCCTGAGTGAGTGCAAATCCTAATAATTGTCAATGGCTATAATGTTATGCTCCCTCCTTCAAGATTTAGGTTCACCTAACAAAATATAAAAACTGACAGGAGTACTAGAGATCTCTTACCACCTAAATTCATGCTACAAAATTGAATTTAACTTAGAACAGTAAAATCTTACACTAGAAGGTAGGCTTCAATGGTCAAAGTAGACAGTGGTCTTTGGAAGTGACTGCATTGTTGAACTGGCAAATGTTTAATATTTAATAATAATATCTAATATCTAATATTTAATATGATAATATTTAATAAGATATTGGCCTAAACATCAATGGTTTCATACCTGGCCAAAAGTAAACCTCAATTGTGTTTTTTCTGCCACTGAACTCGGTTTGTGTGGTTTTACTGTCACTAAACTCAGTGTGTGTTTTTACCGTTACTAAACCCAGTTTGTGTGTTTTTACTGTCACTAAACTCAGTGTGTGTTTTTGTCACTAAACCCAGTTTACGTTGTAGGCTTGCTCCAGTGAAGTAATGATGCTGCGGATGGCGAGGAGGTACGATGTACAGACAGACTCTATCCTGTTCGCCAACAACCAGCCGTACACACGGGAGTCGTACACGATGGCTGGCATTGGCGAAGTCATTGAGGACCTGCTGAGATTCGGTAGACTAATGTGCTCCATGAAGGTGGACAACGCTGAATATGCACTGCTCACTGCCATCGTTATCTTCTCTGGTGAGATGAGTTACTAAAAAGAAGTTAGTGATAGTGAAGAAGTGAAGCTGAGTTGAAACCATTGACTATTGGATTACTGAAGTGACATCCCATCTATATGGACCAGCTGTTGGAAGTTGTGTGAGCTAGTCACTGATTGCGCTAGTGTCTAAAATTCTATGTTATACCTTTTTTTGCTGACAAGGTTGATGGGTCTTGACATAACAGTTGCTATAGCTCACCATAAGTATTCAATAAGTTTGACTTTGTAAAAAAGTTGGTGCATTCGACAGAATTTAGTAATTTAGATCAGTTTAATATGTCGGGGGATCACAACAACTACGTTGACTTTGATAAAAAAACTTGTTACAAACTTAAAATGGGGGATGGAATGTCTAGTTGTATTGATGGTCAAAGGTAAAACATTCCTTGTAACTATTACAATCAAAAATTTAATCTTATGTAGTTTTTGTGAGAGGTGAATTATTAATATTTTGAAAAAGTAATAGCTTTCACAAAGAATGAATAGTAAGGCATGAAATAATCTATGACTTGGTAGTTTATGATTAAATATTTTTTTAGGAAAAAGTTAATTTAAAGGTTACTATGATTTCTTTCTTTTTTATTAATGAGCAAAATTTTAGATTTTTTAGGGGAGCTGACCAACCCGGTCTTTTAACTTAACTTTGCCCAATAGTTAGTTAACATCATTAATTGATAGCTCAACAACAAATTGCATCTGAATCCAGTTAAAACCCTACTTGGTATTGAAAGATTAACCTTTGGATTTGAAGGGGAGCACTGTGACCACTAACTCAATATATTACAAAACTTATTTTATCTGAGCTTTTAAGTATTTTACGACTAATTCAAAGAATTGTGTCCATTACAGAACGGCCTAACCTAGCTGAGGGATGGAAGGTAGAGAAAATCCAAGAGATTTACCTGGAGGCACTCAAGTCCTACGTGGATAACCGAGTCAAACCTCGCAGCCCGACCATCTTCGCCAAACTACTCTCCGTACTCACCGAGCTGCGGACGCTCGGCAACCAGAACTCGGAGATGTGCTTCTCACTGAAACTACGCAACCGCAAACTGCCACCGTTCCTCACGGAAATCTGGGACGTTCCCTCAGAGTTTCCGTCAGAGGTCTGAGCCCTCGCTTCCTGCTACCGCACTGCCCCGGTCTCACGCACATCTTGTTGCTTAGTTTTAGCGTACCGGACCCGAAATACCTGAAAATTGTTACCGTTATTTGTAAACCACCTTCAAAAACTCTACAGGTTACCATGGGTGATTTTCGGGTCTCGCGCAGGTCGTGACCATGACAGTAAAGCTTACTTCGTAACTTTGGTTCTCCGATATATCCAGGTATTTACGTTTCCGACTTAGAAATCCTTCCAGAAATACTTTTAACACTGGGCGTTTGTAAAGCAAAAAAATATCTTGATTATATTATTATTGATTATCTTATTATACAGGGTGAGTTTTTTAAAGTGATCCAATAGCTAACTTTTTAATTACACGACTTAGCACCACACTTTAAATTTGAAACTTGCTCAATTTTAAGTTTCACTCAAGAATACGATTTCAGATTTTTTCATTGTGGCCGCCATTTTCCAATATGGCTGCCAACTTTAAAATTTCTTATGGAACACCCTGTATATTATTTTGTTTTTAGATTTTACTCTAAAAAATAAAACATTTTTGTTCTTGAGATTTTTTCAATATCTCTAACGGTTAAGGAGCTACGAGGACTTAAAGTTTTCATACAAAGTTGCATGAATTCTAAATCATGTTTTAAAACAATGTTAGTTTTAAGTGTTGTTACTGTTAATACTTAACAATTTGTCCTCGTAGCTCCTTAACTATTAGAGATATTGAAAAAATGTCAAGAACAAAAATGTTTTATTTTTTAGAGTAAAATCTAAAAACAAAATAAAATACAGGGTGTTCCATAAGAAATTTTAAAGTTGGCAGCCATATTGGAAAATGGCGGACACAATGAAAAAATCTGAAATCGTATTCTTGAGTGAAACTTAAAACTGAGCAAGTTTCAAATTTAAAGTGAGGTGCTAAGTCCTGTAATTAAAAAGTTAGCTATTGGATCACTTTAAAAAACTCACCCTGTATTATTAAATATCTTTTTTTAAATTTTGACACAGATATTAGCGTGGTACTAATTGGAACTAAAATTCCATATTTTTAATCATTAATTATGTTTTGAAATTGTCTCGTCATTAAACTTTGAAATATTATTGCTCCTTTACTTGCAGCAAAAAAGAACAAAACACTCCGATCAAAATGAATATATTCAGTTGTGTATGCTTGTTTGCTAATATCAACCATCAACAATATCTACTTGTAAGTGGTATTGTTACATTGATTTCTAAATTACATCATCAGCATTTGATTGAATGTCAAAACTTTGTAGTATCTCTCATTTTCATGTAAACTTTTTAGTTCTTACTTGCAAACAATATTCACAACTGAGGAGAGAAATTAAAGAATGATTCAGAAGGATATTTCGATTTGCACTACTGCCATAATATAGATTTTGTACCGATATTATACACTTGAAATTTAAGATGCATTTTAATAAAACTCAAAGACAACTGTAAAAATGTGTTCTTTTGTAGTATTGTGTTTGTACTAAGCGTCAAATTGTGTAATGTTTCCTTTCACAGGAATATTTATTAATTTAGTTTATTTAATTCCATAGTATAATTACGCCAATTTCATTATTCTAATGCATAATATTACATGTTAATGTGTGTTCAGAATTTGTAATCATAATATATACATAAACATTTTATAAAATTACCTACCTCAGTACTAGTTAAAAAGGTCTAAATAAAAACATAATATTAGTTACTGAAGTATTAAAATTACACTAATTCTAGTTGTAACTACTTTTAATGCTATGCATCATATAAAACAAAATCAATCAATTTGAGATTTAGCAAATAATAGAAATAGAGTAAGTGGTACTGACTGAATTCCAAATTAAAATTAATACTTGACGAAATCATTATAAATTTTTTGCAGTAATTAAATTTTACTGTTCCAACTGTTTGTATATTATAACATTTATAAATGATCACTCAATGAGCGATTTTTTAATTCATAAAATACAAACAACACTATTTGGAAGACTCAAACAAGTTTTTGTTACATAATTTCTGTTGATCCGTTGTATTTTGTATTTTTATACAACCACCTTCAGTTATATAGAGTAACCATAGTCTGTTGCATAATTCCCTTGTTATATTCCCTGGGAGTTCTGAAGTTTGTTGCTAATGTTACAAACCTAGATGATGTACCATTTTGTTTTTATACAGTAAAGTTTTTTACGATTTTGATTGAAGCGACCGGAGGTTGGTAGTGTTGCAAAGGTTGTGAACGCCGTGTTTGTTTTGTTTGTTGATGTGTTAAGGTACTTCTAATGGGGTGGGACGTTCGACCGAACTCCCGCCGACAAATAGGCTGTGATCTAATAATAATATATTTTCAACTGTAGTGTAAAATGGATTTTAACTTAAGGCAGAGTCGATAATACTCTGCAAGTCTAGATCGTTGTACATATTTGAAATATTTTTAAAGAAAGTAAACTATTAATGTAGGAAATGAAACGGATTAGCGAATAAAGAAAGTTTATTGTAAATTAACTCGATTGTAAAGAAATGAATTATTTATCCAGAGAAATTCTATGTTGTATATAAATATAGGCGTAGATCGACAAGACTGCATTTTGAGATGGACTTATTGTACTTTGGTGCCTTTGTGTACGCTGCAATGCATGATGGGAACCACTTGTGACTCAAAACTACTATAAATACCGAAGCTTGTGAGTTAGCTGATCTTTTACAACTAATAAAAATAGTATCTAACTGCTCAGTAAGAATAATGCAAACATGTTTTTACAGTACTACAAAAATTATGTTAAATAGGCTACTGTTATAGGGAATTGTTATTTAGATTTTTATACTTATTGTTTATAAATTAATTTATACATTTTATGTACAGTGTATTGTTCTTATTATGTTTTGTGACAACAATAGCTTGAAACAGAAGGCTGATTTAATGTTGCGTATGATTGTATTTAACTTGCATAAGCTAAAATATTTTTTATAGGCTACATCATTTATGTAGTAAAACTGATTTACCATTAACTATTCTACCATGTTGTACGATGTTAAATAATCTAAATATACATCCTATTATTGTTTGTCATATCCAGCAAAGAAGAGTTTCTGTTCAGTTTAAATAATCATTTATCATCTTGAACAATTAAATTACTTTAAATCATAATATGACTTGTAGAAACATTGTTCGATAATTATTATTGTTGATCAGCAAAAAAGAATGGTGCATAATCAGCAAAACCTTGCAAATTAACTTCTTACTTACTTTTTAAAATCTGCGTTTTCATTGATTCGTTTGTAGGACTCTCTCATTTTTTATCGATAGATTTAGAAACATTTCTAACTTTCAAAAATTGGGAATATGTGTAACAATTCTAATTAAATTCATCCAAAACTTTTTTCAAGTTGAAGATTAACTACGTTACTTTTTTAAAGTTTATGGTGGCGGTCTTTATTTGCAATAATTTGCGTTTCCGTACATTTAATCTAAAGCATTGTAGGTAACCAACATTTTAACTATTTTATTTAATCTTATGTTGCCTTTGCCTTCCAGAGATCTTTTTGACCATTCTTTTCTGCTGTCATTCAAGTGGTTCCCAAGTTTTCTTATGTTTGTTGATTTCACTGTCGAAGGTGCTACCTGCAAATGTAGTTTTATAATTTCGTGATTTAACACCGTCCGTTTAACATAGCTGGACGGCCTCAAGTTGGACTGAAGGCTGAATTACTGTTAAACTAAATGTGCAACATTAGTGTTAAGGTTTTGTTTCTTATATAGTATATGTGTCAATTAATATTGTCATCAATGGTTGGCAAGGCGAGGAGTGCAAAGTTCGCAGTTCGGTGTCAGCCGTGAGCCCTCCTAGTGCACAAGTGTAAATATTATAGACACTAGTTCGTGGGCAGATTTTTCTTTTTTATAAAAAAATTCGACAAATACAATTTGTACAATTGTTTTTAGAGAATTAGAATAAATCGGCAGATCTATGGCCTGACTGAAATGTTCTTGTGTGCAATATTTATCCCTTTGATCCTTTAGTGATGTTTTCCAACCAAAACATCTTGTTGAAATTATGTTACTGATTTACTTTATTGAGGAAGTATATTAGAGACCAATAATGTAGTGGGGCAGAAACATGTTGACGGTGTTCCTACTCTGATTTATCCAAGAATCCTATGTATTAATAGGTGACCCATATTTTCTCTTGACAAAGGTGAACATTCCAGGATATTATAATATCAGGAAAGTTAATGTCTCTTTTTTTTACAACCAAGTTCAGATTTAATGATAAACAAAGCAGTCTTACTCTTGTTATCTGATTCTTTTACGAATTTAACATTATACATTTTTTTTCTTTGTTGCATACCTTGTTGAAAGTTAATTAATTTATACCTTTTAACATAATTAATGAAATTTCAATCATTTGATTTCTTTACAAGTTTGCTTGGTTCCCTTTTTCTAATACTAGAAATTTGAATACCTCTTGTTACCCAGGACTTTTTATTATTACAAGGTTTGGTACAATAAAAATTCATAGGAAATGCTTCTTCAAATATATTTTGAAAAGTTCCAAAATAATTTTAACAGTTATTATCAAAATAATTATTTACAGTTACATTCCAGATGTTTCTCTTACATTATTTACACATTTTGTTGTATTTTCTTTTGAACAAATTCTTTTTTTTTACATTTTTTACCTTTTCCTATATTTTTATCAGTTTTACTTAATATATTTAAAAATAATGCTCTGTGGTCAGAGATGCCTGATTCTAAACTCATTATTATTGATAACTAGCAGAGTACCCGTCCTTCGTACGGGGTTGGTGGTTGGTATATAAGTATAGAATGCTTATTGCAGTTATACTCAAGCTTTGCGTTTGCAATGGAGGCGAACACAATTTGATAAAATTTGCTTCTTTAAATTTTCATTTTACTATAGTATCATACATCTACCATAGCCATAATGTTCTACAAATTCACATAAACAATAGAAAAAAATTTCAAAAATTCGCCAAACATCACAAATTATTCATAAAATTAAAAACAAACATAACTGTAAACAATCCTACTTTGACAGTTCTCATCGCGTATCACAGTTTTTTGTTGCTGCTCAGCTCAAATTAGCAGTTAGTTTTCATAAATGCAAAAAAAATAGTGATGCACCCTGTTGGTAAATTCTATAACTTTTTAATGCTTTTCATATCATAGAATCAACTTTTTTAGTTGAAACAGCTGACTAAATTCTTTAATTCCCTTTAAATATGAATACTCATAAGGTTATAATGGGGAATTACAGAGCCACTGGGGCGGAGCCCGAAAGGATTTTTGAGATAAAAATATGCCTATATGTTAATCGGGAATGTGAGCTATCATCATGCCAAATTTCAGCCCAATCCGTGCGTTATTGAAATTCAAACAAACAAAAAAACAAACACATAAACTTTCACATTTATAATATTAATAAGATAAGATGACTGATGATAACATTTCTGTGATAGAATATTATCAATGCAAAATTTTTTGGACTGAGTAATTCTTGTTGGAGAGGAAAAATTCATTTTGAAACCATATTGCTCCAAAATAGAAATGAACTCTAACTTTTGATGTGGTTGGCTGCAAGTTTCCAGAATATCAATATTAAAGTCAGTTGCTATACTGTACATACATTTTTAGTAGACGTCTCTTTAATCAGAAGTTTTAGAAGCCTTCAAACTTTCTAAGAAAATGTTTAAA